ACCACCAGGTCCAGCATCTCCCCTTTGCTGCTCCTCTCCGGCCGCAGCCACTGGCGGCACAGGCGGTGCAGGCGGCTGCAAAGCTCCCGGGGCCCCTCGGCCTCCTGGCGGCAGCCGTCCAGACCGCGGAAGCGCCGCCGGTGGATCTCTGGGCTGAGGGCGGCCTCCATCCCTGGGGGATCCCTGGGCCTCCGTCGGGTCTCCTGCTCGAGGGCAGCCAAAAGAAGCCCGAGAGGGTCTCAAATGTCCCCCGGCCCCTCCGAAACCCCTTCTCCGGTTTGCAGGAGGGCAGAAATGGGTCTCCGCTCACTCGGCCTTTACCCGCCTGAGGAGAGCAACGGCAAATCCTTCCCGCCAATTTCCTGAGCGCTCTTTTATGACTTGTGGACTTCAACTGGCACGCTGGCTGAGGAATTCTGGGAGTTGAAGTCCAGAAGTCAAGAGGGCCAAGTCTGAAGAGCCCTGCTCAACAAGGAGCCAGAACGAGACATTTGTGTTTCCTAGAGGGGACCTGGTAGAAAGAGAATGAAAGGAGACCTTCCTTTTCCGGCCTCCTGGAATGTCTACTCCGCTGCTCTTCTTCGGAGGGGGGCGGGGTTCGTTGAAAGGCGGGCGGTGGAAGCGGACGTTGGGACGGCGATATTTGCAACGGGCCGGGAAGGACAGATGATCTCGGCGTCGCCCCTCTTCATCGGCCGCTTGCTCCTGCCCGGGTCCTGCGCCCTGCGGGAAAGTCGGGGAGCCTCCGCTGAAAGGAACAAGCTAATACAAATTCTTAATTCCATATAACAATAGACTTCTTAGCAGCAATTTGCATGTTTTACACAGGAATTATACTTTTTTCCTTCAGGTGTTGAATTTACAATATCAAAATATCTATGATTTATTATTTAACATGCAAAGTTCTTTGAAAATGAAATCATTGTGCTCATTTTAAGTCTTCTGCTAAAAGACTAGTAGTGAACTCAGAATAAAAAGTTGCAAAGTTGGTTCCATTAAGGACCACACACTGAGTACAGACCACACGCTGTTTTATTGCTTTTAACTTTGTAAGCACCCAGCCCGCTTGTGGGAAGACAGGCAGCAAATAAATTTAGTAAATAATATTTTGATATTTTTTTGCCATTCTTTAATTCAGTGCTTTTCAGCCCGTTGTACGCGTACCACTGGTGGCACTTCGGCAGGTGGCAGGTGCTATGCGTACGACAGGTTGAAAAGCAGTGGGGGAAAAAGTGGAAAAGTGTAGCGGGGGATGAGCTGAAGCAGCAGCAACCCGCACAGGCCTGTGAGAGAGTCAGCTGGAGCTATGGTATTGCCAGGGCACTGTTGATCTCCCAGGATCACCAGAGGGCTCCATCTGATTGTCGCTCCTGGAAGTAGCCTTTGGGAAAGGAGTCAGCTGCAACTACACAGAAGAGAAGAGGAGGGGGGAGAGAGAAGAGGATATGAAGGGACATTTTGGAGGGAAAGGGAGAGAAAAAACCCAATGGGGAAAGAGAATGGGACACAGAAAGAGAGACGGAGAAGAGGAGAGGCTTCTTTAAGACAAGGAGAGGGAGAGAAGGGGATAGAACAGTGCAAAGATTACTGTCAGAGAAAGAAGCACAAGTTTCCCTTTAAAAGTGTGTTAAGTGGGTGTATAGACAGTCCTCTACCTACAACCAGAATTGACTCCAAAATTTATGTTGCTAAGTGAGAAATTCGTTAAATGAGTTTTGTCCAATTTTATGACTTTATGACTTTTGTCCAATTTTATGCCCCATTTGTTAAGTGAATCACTGAAATTGTTAAATTAGTAACACAGTTCTTAAGCGAATCTAGTTTCCCCATTGACTTTGATTGTCAGAACGTTGCAAAAGGGGATCACGTGACCCCGGGACCATCATAAATATGAATTAGTGGCCAAGCATCCAAATGTAAATCACGTGACCCTGGGGATGCTGCAACGGTCATAAGTGTGAAAAATGGTCAGAAATCACTTTTTTCTGTGCTATTGTGACACTAAGAGAACTGTTGTAAGTTGAGGGCCACCTGTACTTTATCACCTTTTCCCTTTTGTTTGGTCATCAAGTTTTTGATACCTTGCTAGGTGACTGGTGGTAGTCGAATATTGCCATATCCTAAAAATGGTACAATCTGTAAATAGGTTGAAAAGCCCTGCTTTAAATGTTACCTCAGTTGAGAGAATAGTTTTGTCTGGAACAAAAATAATGTTCAAGATAAATCTCTCTTCTCAATCAAAGAAATTCTCCCCAACAACTGTAGCTTTT